CCTGTTAAAGGGCTGAGTAGAGATTTACATAGGTACTTAGTGTGCCTAAGTGTTTCATAAATTTAGTTGATAACACTTTTAGTGTAGAAGAAGTGTGTACTTTAAGAGTAAGAAACAGATGTGCCCAGGAATAAAACATGCTACTCTTTGGTAAGATGGAAATATTCTTTCAGAGTAAAATGGGTGTGCAGAAGGCATTGCTAAGACACAAATACTGCTTGGAAAGCTAGCAGCTTGGATTTTATCTTTAAGGTGACCGAGGAAACTGAAAGGGAAAAAAAAAAAAAAAACCCCACAAAGTTCTGATCTTTAGTGAAACACAGGAACATTACTGCACTTCGTAAAACTCCCAAGTAGTGATACTGTGAATTGAAGTTTGGATCAACAGCTTTCTGTTAAGGTAGATAGGAAGGGCCCTTGCAGCATATCCAACTTTTTCAAAATAATAGGCGTTATTTGTAGCTTCTGGTGAAAACTATGACTTTTTAAAAGCATTTTTAAAAACTTTAATCTGGAAATAAACCTGTGCAAATTGTTTGAAAATTAACTACTCAATTTTTAAACTGACTCCATTCATTGTGATATCTACACCAGAAAATATGGAGTATGAAGTGCTTAGATGTAGTTGCGGTACTTTACTATAATTTTCTTGAGATAAAAGTAATCTAAATGGTCTCTCAAATGAATTTAGTGTGATAAGAGGAAACAAAATTTGGATCATCTTCCTTCCATTCTCTTCATTGCTGTTAGTCCTATGCAGTTTTGATTGGTTTTTTTGCTAGAGGATCTAAGATCTGAAGATGGCCACACTGTCAGTTATGTTGGTGTGATGAATGATCAGCTGATAGTGAGTGGCTGTATAGTAATAATTCTTTAGGGAGCCTGTAAGGTTTGGCTAGAAGAAAAAAACAAATTACAGTGAGACTTACTTACTGCTTTCCTCAGCAGACACACGTACTTTTCTTGTAACGCAGACACTGCCTGTGTTAGATGTGATAGTGGATATTAGAAATATATGGTTCCTTTTGCATTGAGGTGGCTTACAGCAAACACCATAAGGTGATGGATTGTCTTTCGTTATGTTTAAAGGTTAAGTACAAAGTATTTTAAAGCTTCCCCAAGGTTAACTTCTACCACAGGTTTGACTTAATGTCAAAGCTTCTTCCCTGCCTGGCTTATTAAATAATTTAATTTGCTTATTTGCTGCTATTGCAATATGCACCTGGAGTTAAAATGATGCTTTAGCTAGTACCTTGTGTAACTGTTGACCAAATACTTCAGCCAAAAGTTTCAAATACATTTTTAATGCATTTAAACAGGTGCAGAATATTTTGGGGTTTTTTTTATTGCTCTGGTATTTTCTGCAACACTCCCACAACTATAAGCTGTAAGTTGTAATTAACAGTGTTATGGCTGTCAGCAGCAGGCTTAAAATGTAGACTTCTTTTTGATGCCAAAGTGCTTGAGGTCTGTCCTCGTGTTGCAGTAGAGATTTGCATGCAACATCTGCTAATGTGCATGTGATTCACGGCATTCTCTGTATGACAGAAGAGCTTTCAAAATCTGATTGCTTTGTGGTTTCTTTAAAAGCTCCAATTTTTTTTTTTTTTTAAGCCTTTACTTAAAAGTGCATTTTTAACAGTATCTCATATTCATGTATATAAGTGTACAAGAATACAAAGTGTATGCTGGGTGCCCTGTGAAGATGCAGTAACTGTCTTATACAACTCAAACAGGGATAACATCTTATTCTGGTTTTGGCTTTGTGAGTAATTGTATTCCTCTGGCAAACTGTGCTGGTGTTTCAAGTCCTTTTATATACTTCTGTCTTAACATAAAAATAATGAGTCTGTGAGGTATGGGAAGAGTCTCTCGAGTTCATTTCTGCATTCTGGGTAATGAGGGGGGAAAAAAAGCGCCTTTTTACAGTTGGTTTCTATGTAACTGCAGTTAAATTGGATCCCTCAAGCCTGATAGTATTTCTCATCAGTTTAATCATCTCAAAGCTGAGCTGCATCTTGCTGGATTGCATACCAAATGCACAAGTGAAACTGATAGCATTTGCTTTGATTGCTATTCTGGTAACCCTGTGAACTACCTGCCTCTCCCTACAGGTTAGCTGTAGTCAAGGCTATCCAAAATTATTTCCATTGCAGCGGCAGAGAGGTATGCTCTTGATTGTTCAGATCTGTTTTCCTGTGAGAATGGAGTAATGAAACAGAGGCATTAGCTCTCAAGCAGTCTCTTATAAATATGAAAAAACCCCCAAACCTATCCTGCTTCATTTTCTGGAATACAACTTTGAAAATTCAGACTGTGGGTGGACAAATGCGGTGGCCCTAGTCCTTGAAACAATTGTACACTGCTGTCTGAGAGAGCCAGGCAGGACTTGCTCCCTCAACAGGAGCGCTTTGCCACTTTGGAGAATTGTCTCAATGCCAATTGCAGCTCAGGGCCTGAATGCACCCTTGAAATGAAGTGGTTTCGATTCTGTTGCTGCTTGCTTTGAACAGAGGCTGCATTGTACGTACCGTGCTCGGTGTCTTGAGGCCTTCAGCAGCCATCTTCCCACTTACTGAGATACACGTATGGCTCCGAGGGCAAGGCAAGCACCCCTGCAGATGTACCCAGCTGCAACTATGGAAGTATCAGTCTCCTGCTGATGAATTTGCTGGTACCTGTTCAGTCACAGGCAAGTTGTACAGTCTGTGGGCTGTGTGCTCACCAGACCTCCTCCAGCTACTGGAACTGGCCATGTGAGGGTTCTGATGCTCTGCCTGGTGGAGAGGGCCTGACAGTTTCGGGGAATCGGGGTGGGGTGGGGGTGTGGGGGTGTGAGAATCCATATAATGTGGCCCTAGGAGCACCTGCAACTGTGGAAGTGCTTCTTGCTGTGTGCAGGGCTGTTCCCTTTCCCCAGGGGATGAATGGTGGCATCTTGCAGCACTTTGTGTGTTCAGGCAGGTGTGTGATGTAGGGCTTTGCAGCTGATGGCAGCCATGTTCCCACCACTCCTATCACCACCCTTCTGCAAAGGTGCAATAAAAAGATGAAGGTCAGTGTGGAATCACCACAGATGCTGCAAGTTGAGGACCCTCCCCACTACCCACACACCCTCCCCCCGCCGTGGTCTTAGTGTTTTCTATCACTGGTACTGTGTTAACATTTGCTATGTGGATCAAATGCATTTCGGTGCCATGGACATACCTGGAGCGTGGTTTGCCAAGCTCTTGTGTTGTAAGAGGATGTTCTCCCATCAGAATATTTCTTCCTCTTGCTGCAAACTCATGGTAGAGATTTGCATCTGGCATATCGGCTTTAGACAAACCTGTAGTATAAACAAAACTGTGCAACTCTCACAGTCTCACAGCCTGTTTTCTCAGACATGAGGGAGAGAGCAAAGCCTACCTTCTACTCTGATTTCAGAAGATAAAAAATAAATTAGATAAGACCTCACCTTTCTGCCCTTGCAAAAATCTTGGGACTACAGTAGAATAAATGAACATGATGTCTCTGGAGCCTGCAATGAGATCAAAACACAAATTCAAGGTGGGTATAGTTCCCTGCATGGCCTGCTGGACACATTCTTCTAATAGGTAGGAATGGCATAGGAGGTTTTGGTTTTTTTTTCCTTCCTCCTTTTTTTAATCCCCCTAAAGAATCAGTTCCAGAAGTAGGAAGAATTTCAGAGGAGTCTGTGGTCTAAGAAGCGCGTGTATATACTCATGCAATCATCAAAGGAACCAAGCGCGGAGTGAATAGTGAGCTCCTCACCCTCCCCTACCCAAAACACACAAAAAAATGCAGACTTTGCTTTTGGCTTCTTGAATAACTCAGCTTTCAAATCTGACTACTAAAACAACAGTGCTGGGGCAGGCTGTTGTATTTAACTGCATCTTGTCTGAAAATGTATGGCGAGAGCCCTGGAGTGAATTTTGAAGGAATCGGGAGTGTGATTACATAGACTTCTGCGAGTCAAAGATTGCTATAGGTTATGTGTAAGCATCATTATCTGCTCTCACTTAACAAGCTCCAGATGTGGGCTTACTCATGCTAGGATGTTTCGCTAGGATGTTTCAGATCAAGAGACAGGCTGGGTGACTACCTTCAGGGCAAGCTTTGAGGACCAAGGTAGGTGGGGCACCAGTTTTGCAAACCGCTGGGTTCCCTGTCTGTTTACTAGCAGAGGCCACCGCTCAAAGCGGGTTTGAGGAAGCACCAGGCTGTGGTGGTATGAAGTTTTGGGTCGAGCACAGGGCTGCAGCTCAAAGTTAGGTACTGAGGGAGCTGTTGCCTTTGCAGACCCTGGCAGCCAGGTCTGAGGAAGGATTTATCAGCAACCACAAAGAGTGTTGTAGGAAGTGAAAGCCCAGCCTTGTAGTTAGTGCAAACTGAATACTGCCTGGGAGAAATGGTTTGTCCTTGCCTTTATCACAGAGATTCTGTGCAGCACTTCAGCTCTTCACAGGTGGCCACTCTTTGCAAGACTCCCAGTTTTCACATGCTCCATTTGGGACACCAAGGATTGGCTTTAACTGGTGGATAGGAACAGCTAAATAACCTGGAGTGAGGAGGGGTGCGGGAAGCAGTCAGTCTTTGTCACAAGTTTAGCACTCAAACCAAAGCTTTTGGTTTTCTGGGCCTCTGTTGTAAAATGGGGCTTAGTCTACCCCCACCCTCCCTCACTTCCAACGATAGTAAGTAAATATTTGTTTGAAAATGTGGGTAGGCTGCTGCCATGATGGACACTAAAGAAACACCCTGGAGAAAATGAATAATTCTGTATTCTGCGCTGGGCTGGGCTGACGTGCAGTAAATATATTCA